CAAGTGTAATAATGGGGGGACATAATGGGAGATAATATAAATTAAGAGGAAATTCTGAATGCTTAATGAATGGTATGAAACCGTAAACATGCTGAACACAAGAATGATTAGTATCTTTCATGAAATATTTTATTATCTACTTGTATAAGGTAATGAAGATATATTGCTATAAGTTTGACAATATTGGCTAAAAGATAATAAGATGGAAAATGTATTTATCTAAAAATGAGAAGTGTAAACATGTTGAAAATATGATTAAGGAAGATAGAGAAAATTTAAATGAATTAATGAATTAAATATTCTGTTATATTCTGTTATATTTGTATAAGGTAATGAGGATATAGTGCTGTAAATTTGACAATATTGGCTAAAAGAAAATAAGATGGAAAATGTATCTTGGGATAGCTATAAATTAAGGTGAAACTCTGAATGATGAATTAAATAATATCAATAGATTGAACTGTAAACATGTTGAATATATGACTGAGTGAAACAGGGTCAGAAGTGATTGTTTTCACTGCCCTTGTGACTTCAAACAGTCACTAAAGGAACTGTTGTATGTGGAGGCCTCCCTGTATTGAGCAGGAGGGAGGGAGGGAGACCTGGCTGGATTCCCCTCCCCCCCAAAGAAGGAAATCATAGATTTGGGTGGATTTCCTGGGGGGATCAAAGGGATCCCAGATCCCGGACAGGAGGAGAGTTCGGATCCTGGGGAGAAGAGGGAGATTCCGGAGCTCAGAAGGAAGAAGGAGGCGGAACCGTCACCCGGGAGGAGAATCCCCAGTGGAGGCCAGTAAAGGAAAGGGGGGTCCCGGCCTCCCCCTCCCAGGGAAGAAGAGACCCTCCCCCCTGCCAGAACTCACCCCTCCGTCCGATCACTCGCTCCTCCCTCTTGGCCGCCTCGTAGTTGTACACCTCGTAGTTGTATCGGCAGAAGAAATCAACAGCGGCCTTCCGGTATTGTATGATCTGCTTGTCTCCGTTCCAATAGTCCGCATCCGCCTCCCCCAACGCCGTGACGGCCACGAATTTCCCGAGGTCGCTGTCGAAGCGGACATATTCCTGCCGGTCGTAGAAGAACCGATCCAGAAGCCGCACCCGCTGCGTCCCGTTGAGGAAGATGCACTCGGACTTCTCCTGGAGCAGGAAATGGGCTGCCAGGAGGAGGAGGAGGAGGAGGAAGGCCGTCAGGAGGGACTCCAGGGCCCATCGCTCCCAGACGCTAGTAGAGGAGGAGGAGGAGGGTCCCACCAGGAAGAGGGGAGGGTGGGGGGGTATCTTCCTTTGAGAGACTGATGGGAGACGCTCCTGGAGGAGGGAGGGGGGACTGGAAGGGGGGGAGGAAAGAAAGGAGGAGGGGGGGAGCCTTCTTAAGGGGAGGGCAGGCAGAAGATCCACTGGTCGAGCAGATCTTCTCTCTGCAGGGACCGTTGGATCTCCAGGGGGAGGAACGGAGGGGGGAGGGCTGGAGGGAAGGTGATATCCACACCTCCTGCTCTCTCTTCCTTTGGGGGGGCAGGGAATACGGGAAGAGGCACAAGGAGGACATCTAGACTCATATTCTTGAGGTCTCCCATCCCTTCAAATCCCCCCTTC